AAATCCAAGCAAGCAACACAGGGTTTTTGTGGCAAAAAAATCTTATTTAGATCAACGCCCCCTCCCCCCTCTCCAGGCATCAAGTTTGCAAGTTGAAATCACAAACCTCAAAACCGGCTGAGTTAATGAGTTAATTCAATACTAAGCAAGGTTTGATACTATGGCCTGGGCAGTACAGGTCAAACTATGACTTAAAAACCAATTAGCTAAGTAAATTCAGAACTATAAATGTTTACATGCAGGGGCTTGTCCACCCAGTACTGATTAAAAATCGTCAAAGCCTACACTTTCCCCTTTGTGACTCGAAGCAGCTAAACCACCACATTCCCCACAAACCAGGGCAGACAGCAAGGAGGAGTGATGAGGAAGTATCCACAGCTGACAGTGCACGTCCCCCCTTACTTCATCCTGGAGCACTCAGGAGCCCACCTGTCAGAAGCAGATGTGGAACCAGGCCAGTCTGCCTGCGCCTGCAGCCAAGGGAGGACAGTGAGCACGGCTGGGCTGTGGACAGCTGGTTCCCTGACACACAGGGCAGGGCAGCATCACAGCTATCGTGCTGCAGCAGGCCAAGGAGCAGCCATACGGAAGTTTCCAGCACACACAAAGTATTTACACACGTGAGACCGGTGCACTTTGCTGGCTCGTGTTCAATTCAGCTCCTCAGGGCCCAGATGATAGGACTCTGAAGTTACTTTGTGAGGAGGACATTTGAGGCTTGCTCAATTCAATGAAGCTCTGACAAACAGGGCCAAAAAGACTGAGACTTAATAAATGTAGAAAATTTTCCACTGAAGTCCTCTAAACATGATGTCTCTACTCCTGTACCCAAACCTGGGCAGCACTTTGTACGAGCAGGAATTTTGCAAAGGTAGCACATCCAAACGCACTGTGAAAGCACGGACAGAGACCTCAATGCAGACAGCAATGCTTAGATGCTTGAGGGATGCTATTACTGCACAAGTGACCTCACAAACTTTGGACCAGATCCTCAAACTTAAGTTTTATAGTCATTCCAGGTGGCCCTGCACTGTGCCTGCCTCCTTCTAGCTTCGTGCTCCCTTCCCTTGGCCAGAGTAAAGCAGCCCTGCAACCAGGCTGGGAATCTGGCAGGGCTAAAGGGAGTGGGGGGAGCCTGGTGGTTAATTTTCACCCAGATCAACTCTGAACACGGCTGCATGGAGCTTTTGTCAGCTGGGGTAGGGCTAGAAAGGGCACTTGGAGGAGAAAGCAGTTAGGACAAGGGGAAAGGCAAACCCACCTCCTCCAGGCACAGCGCCCACCTGCACTGATGTAGCTCTTCCCAGATCCATGACTGGAGAGGATGTGAAAACCCATCCCTCCACCAACTTGACAAGAACAAGCAGACACTCTCATCCGCCCACCGTCACACAGAAATAAACTTAGCAGCTTATGTGTTCTTATACTTTATACCTGTGTATTGGCAACTTTGTCCCTAAGCAAGGAAGTGATACATTTCATTCCTGGGGTTATTGGGGTGGATCCTAAGGGGCCCTATTGTGAGAAGAGACAAGGCTGCAGAGTGGGCTGAGTGCTAAGTACAACATTAAAACTCTTCTTTTTCTAAACACCCCCTTCTCCTTTCAGCCCATCAGTCACAGGGTGCATTCACCTTTCTGGACTGTATTTCTGTGTGAAATTCAAATGTTCAGGAACACAAATGTTACATTTGCTGCACAACAAAATATTCTCAGCTTTCTTTTACAGAAAATGAAACAGAAACTGCCTGTGCACAGCATTCACGCTTCTGTGCATGCTGCTGTCACGCTTAGGTAAAGCTGTGGGTTGCACCTGCATATCTTACTCCACCCTGGTGAGGGTTAAAGCACACAGGGCTGAGGCATCCTTACAAACCCTTATCTGCCCAGATTAGGGCCTCAGCAGGGGAACATCACTGCCAAAACCTAAGACACCACCAGAGACACAAAAGCATTGAGGCCTGAATTGCCACATTCTGATGGCTGACATCCAATGCCACACTTTATATTTGATCACTTCAAAAACACTGGTTTTCAGGCTGCTGAATCAACCCAAACCCCACAGACTTCACAGGAATGGCATGCCTGGCATGCCTTCTCAGTCAGGGTGGTTATGAAGGCTCCTAAATCTGGACAGTTAAAGGCAAATGGTTTGTGGGTTTTCCACCAAACTGATTCAGTCACCAGCTGTAAACCCTCAAATCCAGAGAGATGTGACTGTCCACAGCGTGTGCAGTGAGTGGCTGCAGTCACCACCAGGAGAAGGCTGCCAGCCCCTGTTACCCTGGCAAACAGACGAGCTCGGACAGGGAGATTAATCATGCCTTTGGTGGCTACCGAGGGAAGAAGAGATCAAGTTAAAAGACTAAAGCCCTCCAAAGATTCAGCCCATTGAAAGCAGAGAGAAAAACAGTATGGAAGGACAAAGCCAACCACCAGCTTTGGGAATGCAAGAAGTGCTGGCAATAACACCTGCTCATCAGCTGCCACCAAGTATTTGAAAACATTCATGCTTTCTACTTCATGTGTGCATTACAAGGCAAAAAGTCTGTACAGCAGGCCTTGGATGTGTGAAGATGTATGTAACCATGCCATAACCATCACAACAAAGGTTCTCCATTCCAACAAGTTTTACGGGCTCCCATAATCTGCAGTCCACTTGTCAGTGTAAAACATTACTGCTACAAATCATCACCCTTCCAATAAAAACTACCTCCTAAAGAGATTATAGGCTTCATTTTAGTGTAACAATTGTATCAAAATTGTCCTTCTTTGTCATTTCACTCAGTAATGCCAGCCATACTTTCTGAAAAACTCTATGAGGAAAGAGGCCTCTGGTTCCTCACCAGCTGCAACCCACGGTAGGAAGGAAACGTTTCATGGAGGACATGCACAGCCTCAGAGTCCCTGGGTACAATACTCTGTAAGGTCATGCTCAAAGATCACCAACCCACTTGAACATACAAAATAATGTGACCTAGATTGCAAGGCATACTGGGCTTTTAAACATTATCATTCTCGTAACAGCCACATTTGAGAGTTCTCTTTTTTAACACGAGTTATTTTTGCCTACAATTCCTAGCCTCGTATTAAATACAGAAAATCAGTAACTTCCTCTCAGTTGGGCAATTTTCAGAACACAGAGACAGCCAGAAGGCTCGTGAAAAGGCTACACTCCTGTAACTTATTTCTACTTCTTAGGAAGTCAGCACTGGTCCGATAGGCCTGTACTGGAGTGCAGAAACTTTACTACTTCATAGCATTATGAGGAAGCTGAGGTTGAAAAACTACTTAGATCAGGAGACATTAGTTAATGGGGACCTGATTACTCTTGAATTGTGCTGCTCCCCCACAGTCCCTCTACCCCAACTCATTCCTTCCCCAGGAACTTTTCAGACACATATCCAACAGAAACACAGCAATCAGCTCTCCCCGTCCTCCTCCTCCTTGCAGTGCTACAGAGGGCTGGCTGCCCTGAGCAGCCCCAGGCGCGCAGGCACTGCCGGTGAGGGGGTCCCATGCCCGGGAGGGGTCTTGCCCTGCTCAAGGATCACAGTATCACTCCCTCGGGACTCCTGGAGCCCCAGGGTGGGGATGTCAGCCTGGCAGGCACTGCCCGCCGTTTTGTGCGGCCCTTACTGCTGCAGCGCCCATACAACGGAGGAATTACACTCCTGCAAGTGCCGCAGATGCAAACCAGCCACAGAGCACGCTGTCCCGGCCGAAATATGCCAGCTGGCTACTGGCTGCACAAAGTGACCAGAGCACAGAGCTGCTGGTTCTGTCCTCGCACAGACTGTAACACTGGGGAACGACGCCTCCCCCCAATGTCCTGCAGGTCAGCAGATGCATACCTCTGCCATGAGGCTGTAGGCATGTGGGAAGTTACTGCATTTTTTCCCTCTAAACACGGAATGCCACAGACGATTCCAGGTTGTAAAAATCCCCCTTCCCCGCTGTCATCACTGCGGTGAGAGGCGTTCACGCACCCCAGCTCGATAAGCAACAAGCCCAGCACACGCGGCAGCGATGAGCACTCCTTCCCCCGATTCCTGTGGAACACTTTAACAGAATTTACGCACCAGTTAAAACCTAACCTCACCGCACCTAACTCAAATGTGCTGATTAGCTGGGATGGTAAGTTTAACTTGTGTTTAATTGGTTTAAAGGCTTCAGATGTAGCATTACAAAGGGGAAAAAAATGCAGATATGCAATGAAAGCGCAATCGCCAAGGACAACAAGCAAAGGTTTGCTGTGCCACTGGCCTCACATGCCAGCACATGGGACACCTGTCAAAGCCAAATGGGGGAAGTTTCAGAAATTTCCGAAAGAGGCAAAGAAAAGTTTCACAATGCTCCATCAATTAATTCCCTCACGACGGGGGAGCAAAGAAGACTGAAGTGATTAACAAAGTCAGAGCATCAGAAAAGCATATATATAAAAGAACGTTATTAATTATATGATAAACGTGGGCGGGCTGGGAAAGAAGGGGGAATTCAGGAAAAATAAGCAACAGGAAAGGGAGTATGTGGCTGCAGCAAGGGGGAAAAAAAAAAAAAAAAGGTTATCCACAGAAAACGCGTTAAGCGCCTGGAAACCTCCAAAATCTCAACCAAGCCCCAGCCAATGGGTTTAGGAACTTCCTTGCGGGCAGTTCGCTACAGCGAGGACCGGTGGGACCGTGCCCTTCCCGGGCGGGGACGGGGCCGATCTCCGCTCAGGAAAGCGGCTGTTCCGGTCCCGTCGGAAGGAGCCCGACGGCGGCTCCATTTCCGAGCGGGAGCCGAGGCCCCGGCGGGCGCCTCAGGGCCGGCTCTCCCGCGGGGGGTCCCGGCCGCCACCGCGGGCGACCCGGCCTCGAGGCACCCGCTCGCCCGCACGGGAAGGGACGGGAAAGGCGGCGGCGGTCAAAGACAAAGCGGATGCCTCAAATTCCTCCCCGCCCCGCCGGTCTGCGGCACCCCCCGCCCTCCGCCCCTTCATCGCCCACCTCTGCCTACCTGGGCAGCAGGAGCGGCCAGGCTTCGCTCCCTCCCAGCCCGGGCTTGGGCAGCCGCAGCCCGCGAGGGGCTCCGGGGCTCGGGCGGCGGGTGCGGGCGCTGACAATGAGGGGAGGGACGCGGTACCGGGCGGTGCTTGACGTCAGCGGGAGCGGGCGGGGGCTGGCGGCCCGGCCCGGCCGCCGTGCGGCTCCGCGGCGCCCGCCCCCGGCCCTGAGAGGGCGGGGAGGCCCCGGCCGCCATTTTGGGGGGGCCGGAGGGCGCTTGGGGCAGGGAGGGAAAGTTTCCGCAAGGCCCCGGCGCGGAGCTGGGCGGGGTTGGTGGCGCGGATGGGCGCAGTGGAGGCGCTGCCGTGGCTGGTTTCACGGTGGGTTCGTGCTCCAGAAGGACAACCCCTTCTCCGGAGCTGCCGCTGCCTCGGGGCTTTGGTGTCGGGGCAGGCGGTGCCGGTCCCGGCTCTCTAAAAGCGGGGCAGCGCCCCAGGCCAGGCGGCACAGAGAGGTTTTGTCGTCCTCTCCCGCCGCATCCCCCCTTTAGTGCCATCTCTGGGAGGGTGTGGGACTTGGTGGTCAGTCCAGCTGTGGTTGGTTCCACCTCTGGTATCTGCAGCCCGGGAATGCCCAGATGGGAGCAGAGACAAGAGATGTCCCCCAACACTAACCGGGAAAAGTTGCTCCCGGTGCGGCTGAGCAGAGCCCCGGGCTGCTGGCCGGGCGGGAGGCACGGTGAAGGACCCGGGAGCTCTGCGGCACCGCGCTGCCCTGGCCCAGCTGAGTCCCCGGTGAGCAATTCCAGCCTCCCGGCCCGGCAGCGAGACGTGACGGGCTCGGAGCCTACTGGCCATTGTGGGACACCTGGGGAAAAGGGGAGCTGCCTCCTCACCTTCTAACATCCCTCATTCCACTCGTCCCTTTCTCTACTTTTGTCGGCAGCTTCCGCTGACTGCACTAAGTCCCCATCATTAAAAATATTAATGAAAAAAAAAATTGTTTTATCTTGGAGCAGCCAGAGCTTCCTTATTTTTCCTCTACATCATTTCCTCTCCCTGGACAGAAATTTCTGAGTGTCTAACCTCACACCACTAAGCTTTTTTCTTTGAAATACCAGCCTGGGCCGTGGCAGCCCTTCTTGCCACGGGCACCGTGCCACCAGCTGCAGCCATGCTGCTTCTGCGTGACACAGAGCAGGCAGGCTGTCTCTCACTTGGATCCAGAGATTTGACAATTATCATTTCCTGAGTTTCCATTCACTCTCTTCCCCACACTGCAGACCCCACCCAGCAGCTGGTTCAGTTACACCTTGGTGTGGGGCTTCTTTCTCCTCCTTTATCAGCTCAGCTCAGTCTGTTTTCCGTCACCTCCCTCCATCACTCATGCTGGGTGGGTCAGGACTTTACCTCACACCTTGTGCTTTCCCTCCAGCAGCATTCGCTGTGCCAGTGCTGCTGGCATCTGGTGGCACAGGAGGCTGAGGAGTCCTTAGTGAGCATTTGCTCTTGTTTGCACTACTCCACAATGAGGACTCACCAAAGCCTGAAGCATGGTTGCAATGCTTGTCTCTTGGATTGGAAGTGAGGGTGCTGGATTTCCAAAGCCCAAAGCAGGGTGCCAGCACCACTGGTAGAAAACTTTTTCCCCAGATGTCCCCACAATGGTTGATAGAAAGGCTGCATAGTTCCAAGGGAGTGGGGTGTAAGTAATGTGGGCAGGTGTGACCAGAGACAATGGGCAAGGAGAAATGACAAACACAATAAAATCACAAATGATACGGGGAAGCAGCAGAAGCTGTCAGTGCGTCTGACAACAGAGGATCCATATGGGTGTAGTGGCTTTAAACAAATAAAAGTAACTCGTGCATCTTATGCACAGCTTGATAACGTGAGAAGTGGATGGCTCTAGGATGCCATGAACACCAGAGGCATGAGATTCAAAAGGGATTAGCCAAATTTACAGAGAACAGATTTCTCTGTGGTTATTAAAAATGTCCATCTGAGTCATCTTCCAGTTCATGAAGTCCCTGAACTGACTCTTCAGGTATTCTTGCTATTCTGTACTCCCTCTGTTTGTCTGGTGAATTTAAGTGAGGCGTCTGAGTTGATCTTGCTGCTGCTGATACATGCAGTTGTATGTCCCTCCTAAAATTACTTGTGTGTGTGTGCTGCTTCTTCTGCACCATTCTGGCATTTGTTCCATTTATCAAACTGGCAGACAACTAACTCAAGAGTCAATACTTCTCTGCCTCTAGTGAGTTGAATTAGCCCACTGTTTTCTAAGCCAGTGGTTCTTGTTTCTCTCTGCAAACCAGAAATGGAGATTCTCCTGTTATTACCTGGTTCCAGGTGTTCAGGTTTTAAGTATTTAGAAGATCAGAATCATTATAAGATCCTGATATTTGTTTAATGAATTTCTAACAGCTCCCAACAGAGCTGGAGCCTTGGTTGTGCTAGAAGCCACACAGAGTTTAGGAACAGTATTAAACACAGCAAGCAGGGAAAAAGAAACAAAATCATGCTTATGAGGACAGATGTGCTGCATGGCTTGCTAGTCTCACATCATTATCAGCAGTCTGTATGGCAATGTAAGTATGGGTGGGTTTGGGGTTTTGTGTGTATGACTGTTTCTTGTTCCTAGAATCAGCGAGGTGCCACCATGAGCCTCCAAAGAAGCCTGCAGCCATGTCAAGGTGTGGTAACAAAGGCACTGAGAAGCCTGCAGCATATAAGAAACGGGTTGATGTCTTGTTAGTTTGTGCTGCTTCCATCTTCCTCTCAGTCAGAAAGCATATTCAGTCCAGTGAGAACACCATCTCCTCAAACCAAGGGTTTTCATATCCATCTTCACCAGCAGCATAAGGAGCCAGAACCTGACACACCTGGAGAACACCAGGATGGGGAGTGGCAGTTGCTGGAAGTAATAAACAGGATTTACACACACTATGAGTAGGGTTGGTCTGAATACATCAGACATCTCCACTACCGATCCTTTTACACAAGTCTCATTTCAATCTTGCAACCTAGGTAATGTAAATAATGTCTTTAAAGTCAGTTGGTTTGAGGGGATCTTTCACCTCTTCCTGGAGCAGACATCTTAAAAATGTCAGCTAAATTAGGTCTACACATGGAGCCAGAAGGGTGCATTTAAGGATGCCAAGGGTGCTTGCCAATATAATTTCAAGATTGGCACCATAGCTACAGCTGTCTCTTCTAACATTTGTTCAAGGACTGGCAAGGTTTACTGCAGAGGGAGTTGTGAACTCGAAAAAGAAAAGCAGGATACCAAGTAGTTTCCATGGTAGTTCAAAACTTGAAATTGTCTATCCATCATTAACTGCTATGGAATAGACAGGAAAATACAAAGTATCATATCTTCACAGTACCAAAGTACCTTTTGCATTAGAATATCAGAGTGGTAAAAAATCATAATTGTCAATGAAGGCATTCTGACACTGTGTTATAAAGTGTGTTCTGCAAAAACATTTCCATCATGACTGATTACAAATACAAAACAGGAAGAGGACTTTTGGCATGTTTGTTTGTGAAGATGTAATCTGTTCATCAATAGGGCTTCATATACTTAAGTAGTCTTACATATTGTTCTTTTGTTCCTATTGTGCATTTTGTTCCTTTGTATTCCCCTGACAAGGAGCTGTTTTCAGGTTGGTGAGCATGGTGGGATGGGTTTCACTGGCCATATTTCTTTCACATAGCAAGGTTCAGGTTTGTCCTGGGAGGAGTGATCGTGTTCCACATTCATTTTCCTGCCAGTCTTCTGTCATTGTGACTCCTCATTGGTGACACTCATCCTCTTCCCTGGATATTCCCAGGAATAACCTGCACTGGAATTTAAATGCAGGGTGCTGCAGTGAACACACATGCTTTGACATATATTTAGCTATTTCTTCTGTTTTTGATAAATGTTACATTATCATTGAAATAACTATCTTATCGGACCTATCAATTTGTTTTCTATACAAACATGACATGTTTTAACATACCTTTGTGCTTGTAATATTGCAAGAGCTTCACTGGAGAGGCACTGAGATATCACTCAGCCCTCATGTACTTTCTGTAAAATCTATTTGTGTGCTCTGGACTGCAATTCACAGAGCATTGTAAAACATGGTAAATATGGACATTGATCTCTGTGACATGAGAGCCTCCTCCTTTCAACTCAGAGGCTGTAGGTGTTATTTATCTTTAATTTATGATCATCCCTAGCAAGTGTTTTCATCTGCCAGTTCCATATCACTGTTTTTTCCAATATAAATTACTGAGGCATGCTATCAAATATTTACTAACAATAAGAATGGTGTAATATTAAACCATATGCCTTTTAAAATTAACCTATAATCTAACCAAAGAAAGGGCCTACTTTGTTTACTCTTGAATTAAACAGTGTCAAAGAAGAGTGGTGGATCATCTTCCTTTGCTGTATCTTGCCATTCTGTTGATAATTGGAAATCTTCAAGGGTAGGAAATACAGGAAGAGAGCAAAAGCACAGTTGATACAGGCAGGGAATGGCCCTTCCAGGACCATGATCTGCAGTTTTATGTTCCACACTGAGCAGGTGAATCACCCATGGATCTTGGAAGTCATCACAAACTGGCCCAAAGGTGAACATTTCAGACTATCATCATCAGAGGAGGATGAAAACTTGATTACTGCTGTAACAGCAAATTGAACAGTACCAGGGACTGGCCTCAGGTGTGGGAGTTCAGTTGTCCACACTGGTTTATGGCTGAGACCTTCCCCTGTGGCCTGTGGCAGCTCACATGTCCCCAGCACTCTGGACACACTTTGGGAGGACACTCTGTGGTTGTAGTCATGTAGTGACACCATCCAAATGTCTTAAGCTTGACAGAGCTAGATCAGTGCCCTTTTGGGAGGGTGGAGGAGCCATGTCCCAAACAGGGCAGCCTTAAATGCCTTCAGTGAGAGAGAGGACTGCCCTTCTATGACCACACAACTGCTCTGCCTGATTCTGCAGCATGTGGGTGGTCCTGGGGCATCACTTTATGGTGCATCCTCAGCAGAGGCACCAGCAGCAGGGAGAAGCTGCAAAAGCTGTGCTACAAAAGCAAAGGAGAGGCTGACAGCTGTGGTGGACATGCACTGTGGTGGAGATGAACTGGGGCAGGCTGAGAGATGGAAGGGCGGTCAGAAGGATGATGGGGTGATTTTCAAAGCAATGTGAGGCTCTCATATTCAGTACAGACATGACACTTCTGATGTAAAATGCTCAGAGACTAAAACGCTGCATGACATTTGGGCTGCACCACTTGGTGTGCTGTCTTGTCTGAGACTTCATCCAAGACCTCCATGTGCCAGCTTCCCACCTGGCAATCAGGGAAATAATCCCAGAGGCAGAGAAGGGCAGGTTAGAAGGGACTTGCTCTGTGACCTCAGCAGAGGGTCCTGACAGTGATTCCTGAGCACAGTTTGTTTGACCAGTATTAAAGAATTCCAGAGGCAGGGATGCCACATCCACCCCAACAACCTTAATTACTGAGAAAGTTTTCCTTGGTGTGTTACTGTGTTCTCCCCAAGGAGTGAAACTTCTGGCTATTTTATGAGGTCCTAGTCATTCCATACCAGCACTAACCATATTCTCCTGTTTCAGTTTATGCATGCAAAAAAAGTTAAATGACAGAAATATAAGATCAATCATTTTCATGCTATTTATTTTGTAGCATTTCTTTACTGGCTGTTCTATTAATGATAAAATGTGTAATAACTAATTCAACTAAATTGTCTCCTTTCTACACTTCACCAAAAGCATAGCTTCAAATGCAGCATTTGTGAAATATCCACATAACTTACATCTGTGCTATGCTGCTCTGCCCTGCTGCTGATTGTAGTCAGGCTGTGTCACACATCTTCTGAAAGAGCTACAGGTTTTATCAGCTTGATATGGGTAAGATACATGCCATAGAAAATACAAGTATCAGATCCTGCTCTCCAGAATTTCTCTCAGCTGACATAAATGGTTAATAATATACAGGAGAAGTACTAATGTCTTGTAAATACACACACAATTTCCTCCCATCAGGGTAATGTGTCACCTCATCCCACGAGACAAACTCCCTGGTTCACACACCTTGCCTCGTTGCAAAGCTTATTTCATGTGTCATTGATCTTATATACACACATGATCACTGCAGAGACCATGGACAAATTCTGTTATGGCACGTACAGTCCCAGACAGAAAATATCAAATGGGCAATAAATTCCCAGTTACATGCACAGAACGGGGTAGCAGCAGAGATGGCAATTACCACTCTGTTCCTTAGGAATAAAAGCATGGAAAGTTTCAGGTAGGCTGTGAGATTGCACAAGGGTCAGTTACACAGGAGGAGAGTCTCAAGAGGAACTCTTTTTGAAAAGTATTAGTTTTTGGAAAGCCTGTTTAAATTCTTCATTAAAAGCTGTATAAATTACTGGATTGATTAATGAGTTTAGGTAACCCAACCAGGTAAAAAAGTCCAGTAGGATGGGATGAAACCAACAAGCATCTTGGCAGATTGGTAGGACTAGGGATATGACAAAAAAAGGCAGCCAGCAGATAATGAAAGCTCCCAGAATAATGCCTAAAGTTTTGGTAGCTTTCCTTTCTCTCGCAGCAGAAATTCTTTTCCTTTCCAGCACACTATCTGCAAGTTTTATTTTAACATGACCGAGAAATATTGGGGATCCACCTGAATGGGAATGCCCTTCATGGAGGCTAGCATTGATGGAGCAGAGGGAAGAGCCTGCAGAACCTGTGATCAGGTGTGCAGTAGTGAAACGTTTCCCATATAATGAGGGTGGATTCAGAATCCTGGATCGAGCTGCTACATAAATTCTCCCATACAATATAAGGAGGAGCACAGTTGGGATGTAGAAAGCTCCACAAGTAGAATAAATCGTGTAGGAAATTTGCTCCGTGTTTACAGCGCACTTTGCAATTTCTTCATGAGCTTTCACTTGCCTCCAGAAAAATGGTGGCACGGAGATACTGATAGATATCATCCAGACCACGGCAATCATGAGGGCGGCTCGGCCGGCAGTGCGGCGCTTGGTGTACTCCAGAGCGTCTGTGATAGCCCAGTACCTGTCCAGGGCAATGACACAGAGGTGCAGGATGGAGGCTGTGCAGCACGTGATGTCTGATGACAGCCAGATGTCACACAGCAGCTGGCCAAAGGCCCACGTGTGGGTGACGGTGTAAGCAATGCTGACAGGCATCACCAGGACAGACACTAAGAGATCAGTCACTGCCAAGGAGCCAATGAGGTAATTTGCGGGTGTGTGGAGCTTTCTAGTCAGAAAAATGGTAATAACAACAAAAACATTTGCGAGGATCGTTGCCAAAGTTATAACAGCCAGAAGGATTGACAGTGAAATCTTCAGCCCTAAGAGTGTCCTTTCATCCCAAGACAAAGGTGTTTCAGTGACATTTAATGATTTATTTGCTGAGCTCGGGAGAGAGAACTGTGCTGAATGGTTGTACTGAGTCATCCTCTGCTCTGATTTCACCTTCCAGTGGAATCTTTCCAGGACAATGAAGAAAGATGCTCACTTTTGTTGATAAAATAGAATTTTTCATACTTTGGTCAAACACTGAATTAACTTGTTGAAAATTAACTTGTTGGAAACTTCAGCTGACGCAGTAGATGAGGTACTCTCCTATGCAAGATTTTGCATCACATCACATCACATCAATTACATCATTGTTACAGCAAAATGTCATCCAGACACAAGTCTGGTGTACAACAATGAAAACAGTACTATAAGTGATGGGAATTCAGGTGGTTTTCATCTTGAAGAAAATGAAATAATTTTTTATTATCTTTTTTTCACACCTCCTTTCTGACCTAATCTTCTGAAAAGTTGCATAAATCAATACTGAAGGGGTAAGAGATGGAAAAGAAACATCTGGGCATGCAGTTGATACTGGAGATAAAGCTACCCACAAGATTATTTTCCTTTTCTCTCTAATAGCTAAGGGTCATGTTTTTGGTATTTACAAGGGACACTTTATTAGTAGAGTACCTAACATATAAAACAATACTTCTGAATTCCTTCTGTAAACATAATTTCTCCCAGATTTGCAAATAAAGTCTTCTTCAAGTACAAATTTCCATTTTCATTTGTTTCTCCAGACTATTCAGGTTTTCCCTTCAACAATTAGTCTTCAAATGCTGAAGTCAGGAGTTGGATGCCAGACCCCAATGCACTGGTGCACATTACAGCACAGTATGCAATCTACAGGCTTTCCACACTTTTCCTTGTGTTCACCAGGAGTGGATTTCCTGAAGTCTTCACAAACCTGAAGGAAACATCCTAAGACAGATTTCACTCACTTCCATGAGTACCAAAATGTCACTTCTATTATGCCAGCCCAACCCTTCTTGAAAGAAATCCTGAATGTGGGTCAGGAATGGCTTTGAAGAGTTCTGTGAGGGCTACAAGGAGGAACACCAGACTTCTGCAAGGAGCCAGTCACCAGGCCAGCCTTCTCCCAGCCATGAGAGCCTCTCTCAGTCATCCCCGGTGCCAATTCGTGCCATCCATCCAGGCACTCATCTGGCAATCTGTGGAGCAAGAGGAGCAAATATTCTACATGAAACATCAGCACTTTGAACTCAAACAGCCTCTCTTAAGCTCCTAAATCCTAATATAAGAAGCAACACTTTTCATTGTGTTTGATTTTTCAGTGTTTGATTTTTTTTATATACAACCACCTTCTGTGAGTCAAACATTTTCAGACATGCTTTTTCTTTTGACGTGTACTTTTCTAATAAGGAGACGTAGAAAAGTCTCATATTTTACACTAGACTATTACTTTCTTGATTTTTTTTTTCTCTAGGAAGTGAAAATCCCTTCCTCATGGCCATTTTGTGATACTGAGCAAAGTCAGTACATGATTATTTATCATGTACCCAGGAAGAGTTACCATCTAGACAAAATAAACATATTCCAAATAATTTAGTATTTCAATGAAGTTACCTTTTACTCAACAAAAGAATGATGAATACAGGTAAATTATTTTCCTGTTAAAAAGAAAAAGAAACTAAATTTATGTAAGCTACAGATACTGAAGAAAAATAATATTAAATGACAAGCAGTCATTAAATTATGTCCTGTACAAGGTCATACACATAACTGCCTGCTAAGGAAAGCAGAACACAGATGCACAGACTACAAATCCTGAGCCCAGGAGTAGGAAGTGGCCGTGCAGCGTTTCCTGAGAGCAGAGGGATGTGCTGCCTGGGCAGGGTGCGCGCAGCCCCTGCAGCATGAGGAGCAGAACCTGGGTGTTGAGGAATACACTCAGTGCCAGCCGTGCCCAGCAGGGCCAGCTGCAGGTTGGGCTCTTGTAGATGGCAGCTCCTAAAAGACATCTGAGACTGCCGCAGGAACCCTCGTGTCGAGCTGGTGAGCACACCAGGGGTGTCCGTGCGAGCGTGGGGTGCTGCCAGGGGATTTCAGTGCTGCAAGCGTGGCTGCCAGAGCGGCTCCTGCGTGGTCAGACGGGGAAATCTCCCTGATGCTGGTGGTGTCATCGCCTCTAGGTAAGATAGCATCGTTGCCTGCCGTGGGTGCCTCTCCCAGGCTGGCTCGGTCCGTGGGGTGGCAGTGCAGCCTGCAGGCAGCCGAGCGCACCCGGCAGGGCACGGCAGCTTTGTCACCCCGGCTTGTCACCAGGTTTGTCACACTTCACAGGACGGGAATCCTCTCAGGTGCCTCGGCTGCATCACACTGTGCTTGGTCCATCTTTCCTTGGGCTTCACCCGGTGCTCTTGGCCATGGACTGTGGGTATTTTCTTCACTTCAAAGCACCTGAAATAAATTGCAGGTGATGTCACGGCCAAACAGAGTGAGATTTGCACAGCACACTGACATACAATGCCAAGCTGGAGAAAGCCAGTTTAACTCTCTGCAGTAAACTCAGAGAGCAAGGGCAGGGTGGCAGAGGAAGGTCTCTTTGAGGGAAAACCAAGCACCAGGTGTGCCAGGGCAGGCACACTGACGGGCAGGAGAAGGCTGGGTGGCACCAGGAGCTCCTCGGGACCAGGTGTCATCATGTGGGCTCTGGGCATGGAGCTGCAGAGATTGCCCAGGTAACCAGAGGTGCTCAATCCCAAGGGTAAGCAAAGTCCCAACACATTTCTGTTCCTTCTGAAGCACAGCCATTACTGGAGAGTGAGGCAATTCCTGCAGACTGTGATTTCATGGTGCAGCTGACACACTTTCTGAGGGTGCTGGGCTGCAAGGAGAAGGCTTTGATGTACCTCTGCAGTGCTGGGCTGGAGAGGGATAAATAATGTGTACAGAATAGGTATGTTGAAATAAAAATACAGAATTTACTCTTTCACTAAATAGAACAGAAAAAAAAAAAAAAAAAAGAAAATGAGATAAAATGTCCTTTAGTAAGTTGCACATTTCCTTTAAGTTCACACTGAAGTTAGAGGAATTAAGGAATTCATTTTCTTCTCTTGAAGCTGGAGAACTGCAAAGGGATGGCTGAGAACAGAGCTGAAGTTCAGCAAACTACTGAAAATTCATTTTGTAACTTATTCTCACTTTTCATTTAAATTTAGAGTCCACTAAATAGAACAGGTCTAATCTGTCATGCTGAAAGTGTGATCAGCAGTGAAGCTGCTTCCAGTGAGAGCCAACAGCAGGTGGCCAGAAGGCAGGACAGGAGGTGGCACTCTGGCCAGGAGGAGCCCCTCTGAAGGCCCATTTCAGAGCAGAACTTAAAAAGGGGGCAAGTTTTGAGTAAGTTCTTGTGTATTTGGGACAATTGACTCAAGCATGCATCATAGAGTAGGTGTGGAGCCCAACCTGAAGACAAAAGCACTGTTCAAACAACACGAAATACTTTTAGAATTAGCTCTAGGAATGTGCCCATCCAGAGATCATAACCAAACCGGGATGCAGCTCCTGGGAGAAAACCAGGCAATGCTGTAGTGTGTTGCTGAAAAATCAAAGGTATAGTCTATGTAAATTCTGTTTGCATCAGAATTTCTGCTCAAGCCCAGCAGCAGCTGGGCCCTTTAGGGCTGAGCATCTCTCCTCACTGCCAGTGAGGGGAGCTGGTAGAGAAGAGTTCATGTTTCTGGAAAAGTGTACCTGACTGTGAGTGCTCACTCCAGCACAGCTCATGCAGCATGGCTGGGTGTCTATCTGCCACAATCTTTGTGACTATTTCCAAGTAAATCAGGTCCCTATTTTTTCATTTGATATAGAGAACAGCATTCTATATGAGAAACTATATGCAAAACATTTCTCATTTTAAAAAAGCAACTATAGTAATAAGCAAATACTAGCAATGTTTAACACCTTCTCTCTCTCCTCCCCACCTTCTATTTTTGCTCAGCTTTTAAGAAATTATTGGCATTTTCTTGTAGGAATCATTGGTATTTTTCCTCTCTTACCTTTATTTACCAAAAGGTATTAGCTATCCAACCTATTGATAATTACCAAGTTACAATTGCTATTACAAATTATAACTAAATATTACTTATCAAAGAGAAAGTCTGGGGTTTAATGGGCAGTGTTTCCAGTAAATGCTACATTGCAAAAACAGCCTGTACAATATGTTACCAATAAGTTCTTCGTGGGGAGCAGGGGCTGGGAAGCTCTCAACCATGAAGCTGAGTTTAAGGACAAGTGCAAGGTAGGTAGTTCAGGTAGAAATGAGCAGTTCCCCTGTTGTGTGATGGAGAGCAACCAGCTCAGCAAAAGCTCTGCTCAGTGTGGGATCAATGTGCACCGTCAGCAGAGCCAGTGACATTGTGCCAGGGCAAAACAGCAAACTCCTTGGCAAGTGTGTCACTGGGAATAAGGCCTTGAATAGATTCTGCTCATTTTGGACAAGGCCAAATGGCAGCCTGGCATTCAGCTCTGGGCACTGTTCCCAAGAAGATACAGACCACACAGCAAGAAATCAGATGAAAGCAGCAGGAATCATCAGAAAAGAAAATGTATGGGAAGAAACTGCATGGGAACAGGAATGTTGGGTTTAAAGAGCACAGCTGAGAGAGATGCTCAACAGTCTTTCTGTGCATGAAAGCCTGCAGAACAGGAAGGAATAGTCTGTTCCCTGTGGCTGTGACTAATATCACTGAAAGGAGAGAGACTTAACTACAGCAAGGAAGACTGAGCCCTTAGGAAAACTTTGGAGATAGTAAGAGTAGTGAAACAAAATATTCCTTAGGGACACTGACATCTCCATCTCAGAAAGTCACAGGGACAGGTCAAATAATCTTTTTGGAGTGTGATTTCCTATAACCAATGAAGCACCAGGAAAGTAAAGTGAATTAGTCTACCCCATGTAAAACGGTGAAAACCAGAATTTTTTGACTGCAATACAGTGCAAAATTAATGAACTCCAATTCAAAATGAACAAAAAACCAAGAAAGTGAAAGTTTTTGCAGAACATCACAGTTCAGGTCTGGAACCAGCTCAAGACTCAGCATTGTGGTGCTGTGGTGTTCCACATGGGCAGA